GATTAACACATAGTCCGTTCACTTTTCTGCTCCAAGCTGCTGGGTTCTGCATTAAGTCCTTGTGCTTCTGGGGCCGAGGCCGTGCTGGAGAGCCGCTCGTGGGAGGCAACTGGTGACCTCGGTAGGGCGTGAAGGACGGACCAAAACACCCCCCTTCCCATGAGGATTTTGTCGCCCTTGTGCCCCCGGCTCACACCTGCTCTCCACAAGGTGCCCATGTGGCCGCCATCTTCTTTCCAGAGAGGAGAGGGTGAATGGGGCAACACCCTTTCCCCTCCGGGCAGACATGATGGCCTGGATTAACGCATAGTTCGTTCACTTTTCTGCTCCAACCAAGCTGCTGGGTTCTGCATTAAGTCCTTGTGCTTCTGGGGCCGAGGCCGTGCTGGAGAGCCACTCGTGGGGGGCAACTGGTGACCTCGGTAGGGCGTGAAGGACGGACCGGAACGCCCCCCTTCCCTTGAGGTTTTTGTCGCCTCCGCTTCCCCGGCTCATACCTGCTGTCCACAAGGCTCCCATGTGGCCGCCATCTTTCTTTCCAGAGGGAGGAGGGCGGAAGGGAGCAACATCCTTTCCCCTCCGGGCAGACATGATGGCCTGGATTAACGCATAGTCTGTTCACTTTTCTGCTCCAAGCTGCTGAGCCTTTGGATTTTTAATGGTCATTATTGCTGTGGTTTGATTTTGACGTTGATCAATTACTTCTATTCTTATTCCACTGAAACTTTTCATCAAGTATTTATCTGGGATCTCTTGGTTCTTTTGTTGTTTTCTAGTGTAACAGACTACAAAACTACTTCTTGAATGGTCAGTTCTCCACCCCATGGATTGCTAGGGATCATTCAGTAAATTGATTGAAGAAGGAAACACTTTGTGATCATATCGCTGTTCAGTTTTCTCTTTTCAGATGCTCACTATAGAGGCCTTTAACTCCCACTCTTAGTTTTGTAAAAAGGAGAATTACAAAAATTTTAATTACAATTCTTTTGCTAAATACTCTATAATGTAGACAGGTTTCACTGTCACTGTCCTCCCGTTGTTCATCGATTTGCTCGAGCGGGCCCAGTAACATCTCCATCATGAGACTTGTTGTTACTGTGTTTGGCATATCGAATACATCACGGATAGCTTGCCAGGCTCTCCGAGAGGGGCGGAGGAATCAAACTCCGGTCGGCCATGTTGGCTGCGTGCAAGGCAAATGCCCTACCGCTGTGCTATCGCTCCAGCCATGTAGACAGGTTTATTGTCTTTAATTTTTAAAATCGATTTTATTAAAAATGGAAATGCATATTGTTTTTACTTACTGGTATATTCTAAACTTAAGGTTGATAAGTATGCATGCAATATATAGTGATAAGTATGCATGCAAAAATATGCAATATCATATTAGATATCGATGAAAATATTGTTCTAGAATATATGTTTTGATTAACCATCCATTAGAGAAACTAGAAACCTTTTGTGTTAATATTTAACAACTAGAATATTATTTTAGTCATCTTTTGCTGGTTTCTGCAATAATGCACCTAATGGCAAAGATATTTTAGACTTAGGAAAACCTTACAATGTTAACTGTGGAACTAAACCAATAAAGTATTTGCCTACTGTGTTATTTTACTTCTTAGGAAATACAATTAATGTTGTAGGTTTGCTTTCTCATTCAGTTTATGTAGAAGTGAGGCAGAAATATGGGACAGTGTAGAAACCTATCATCCTTTAAAAAGTAGATACTTTATGTAAATATATCAGTTTTTTCCTTGCATACTTAATTAACAACTTCCAGGTATACATTATAAACTATAGTAGCTATACATATATTTATTTTTTTCATAGAGGTTAAACTCAGTCATACTGGGGGTGGGCAGGCTTATAGTGTTAGGGACCAGACTCAGGGCTTTGCACATGCTGGGTATGTGCTCTATTATTCGCATGGGCTCTCTGGGCCTGACTTACTTTATACTGGAAATTTCTTCTTTTTGACACCTTTATCCATACTGTCCAAGTTGCCTCTGGCAACCACTACTATGTTCTCCCTATATAAGAGTGCAGGTTTTGTTTTTAGATTATACATATAAATCAGATCACATGGTATTTGTTTTTGTCTCTCATTTCACTTGGCATAATGCCCTCAAAATATATTTGCCTTGTTGCAAATGGCAAGATTTTATATTTTTTATGGTTGGATAACATTCGGTGGAATGTACTGCGTGTGTATGTGTGTGTGTGTGTGTGTGTGTGTGCGCACGCGTGCATGTGCGCGCTTGCGTGTGTATATGTATACATGTGTGGACATGCATGATCGAGAATATATATGCATACAATACATGTATATACACAGAAACACATGTACCACATTTTCCCTTTTTTGTAATAAAAAGTTACAATATTGAATCAATATTTTGTTCCCAGGGCTTGCTTATTGCTTATCTTTTTTTTCTAGTTTTGGGCCATACCCGGTGGTGCTCAAGAATCACTCCTGGCAGTACTCAGGGTGCTGGAGATTGAACCCAGGTTGACTGCATGCAAGACAACTCTGGCCCCCAGTTGTCTATCTGTTTTATAGGAGTTAGACCCAGCAATGCTGGAGTGGTGCTGGAGACCAGATGCAAGGCTTTGCACTTGCCAGGCATGTGCCCTAACACAAAACTTGCTTCCATATTAAAACCATTGTAAATAATGCTGTAAGGAGCAATAGGGCACATTTCGCTTTTTGACTTGATGATGATGTTGATGATAATAATGATTTTGGTTTGGGGGTTATACCTGGTGGTACTCAGGGCTTATTCCTGGCCCAGTGTTCAGGGATCTCTTTTGGTGATGCTCAGGGAACAATATAGGGTGTCAGGGATCGGAACCAGGTCAGCTGCATGCAAGGCAAGTGCCCTCCCCACTGTAGTATGTCTTCAATCCTTAAGCTATTATTTCTGTATTCTTCAATTAAATTCCCAGAAGATTTGCAGAATCAGCGGTCAGTTTTCAGTTTTGGAGGGAACTTCCATACTGTTTGCCACAGAGGCTGCGTTTTCCCCAGCAGTATATGAGAGTTCCTTTTCTCCACATCCTTGCCAATTCCTGTTTCTTTGCCATTCAGGAATAGGCATGACTTTTTAGTTTAATGTGGTTCTGATTTGAATTTCCCTAATAATAACAGATCTGTTGAGGCAAGTGACTTACTGCGGTGTTTCTTCAAATATTTATTTGGCTTAATAGTAGGCTCAGCAAAAGAATCATCTTTCTTTATGTTTTTTGTTTTAGGGCCACACTCAGCGATTTTTATTTAGGGTTTATTGCCTGCTCTGCTCTCAGAGATCACTCTCTGTTGGCTAAGATGATCATATAGGGATTCCAGGAATCGAACATGGGTCAGCCTTGTGCAAGTCAAGCATCCAACCCACTTTACTATCTCTCAGTCCCCCTCTTCTTTCACTGGATAGTTTCTGAATAGAAGATAAAATTTGAAAGAGCCGTTCCTCGTAAGCGCTTCAAACAAACAGATCAATCAGTGTGCTGCTCGGCACTTGCGACTTTGGAAAGCAAGTAATATTAATCACATCATCTTGAAATATTTTAAATAGCTCAGTTTAAGAAGGAAGGCCTGCGCTTTATTTTGTGACATGTTTCTGTGATTTTTCTCCATAGGGAAGTAGTCCACAACTTTTGAAATTTGCTTTTGTTTTAGCATGACCTTATGGAAAGAGTTATCTGGAATTCCATATTGAAGCAGTTTTAAGGCACCTAAAGGAGCGGCCAGTGTTACTTTTGTTGCCCCATGCACATGGTCACTTCCTTCTGAAATGAGGATTCTGATCCATGTCCAGACTGCAATGTAGCAATGTAGTCTCTAAAATGGATCCTAACAACAAAACATCTTAGCCTTGTGAAATAGCAGCATGTTTCTCTCCAAGTTTAAACTGCCATACCAGTCTTTAGGTAAAAGCTCAGATTGACAGTTTATTGACTATTAAGGCTTTGGGATAATATCCCAGACCAATATCAAAGATGCTAACTAAGGAATGGGTTTCATCCTTCTGAGGACCAACATTGGCTTGCTGGCCAGATGGTTGAAAACCACTACTGGAAACTGAGTGGAACCCCTCAGTGACTTTTAATTCTTTACATCTTGAGATCTGGCACCAACTCGTAGACCAGTGTTGAAAACCACAGAGGTGGATGACCTGGTCTACGCTTATTACTCTCTGAAATAGGTATACCCGAGAACACAGGAGGTAAGTAAAATTGGGAGAGTTGCTTGATAGTCTACCAAAAAAAAAATTAACTTTCTCCTCTTCATTTCTTTGCATGTGAAATCTGTATACAAGTTGCCTCAGATTGCTTTTACCAGTCTAGCTCGATCTACTGATTAGGCACCTTGATAGCTGATAGAGTTTACACACAGTCTGATCTGTTGCATGCTGTGATTGGAGTGGAATTTCACTGATCTAGCTTGACAGGATGATGACCACCACAGAACTGTGCAGGGTACAGAGGCTACAAAAATAGCTTTGTTGGGGCTGGAAAGTACATAAGCAATAGTACACAAGCGGTAATACAGTGTGGACTAGCATTTGCCTCCCAGGAGGCTGACTTGGGTTTGATCTCCAGCATCCCATGTGATCCCCTGAGCACTGCCAGGAATAATTCTTAATGCAGACCCAGGAATAACCCCTGAGCATCGCTGAGTGTGACCCCAAAACACACACAGACACATACACAATAGCTTTGTTGTGATGGTCTTGTTATTGGCAGTTTTAATGTGAAGTTGTCATTGCGTAAAGGTAGAAATTTTTGTTTTGGGACCACATCCAGGGATGTCCTCAGCGATCTCTCATGGAGGTGCCTAGCGTGCCAGCATGGAACCTGGGTCAGCTGTGTGGCAAGGCGGGTGCTCTATCTGCTATACTATCTCTCCAGTCCCAACAATGTCCACTTTTTAAAAACTGCATGCATCTGTTTTAAAAACATCATTTGTCATTTTATAGAATTTTCTTTTTTGTTTGTAGATATAATACTTTGCCAAGCAGAAGAACTCTGAAAAATTCAAGATTAGTGAGTAAGAAAGACGACGTGCATGTCTGTATCATGTGCTTGCGAGCCATCATGAACTACCAGGTATGCTTGTGTTTCTGATGCTGTAAAAGATACAAATTTGTCAGATGCAGAGCATACTCTCTTTGATTTCTTTGTACTACTCCAATATTAGGATTTAATGAGATACTATTGAAAAACGAAGTTCATTTAGTCAGTTGCTTGTGATTTCATTCATTGTTCTCATACTTTAATTTCAGTATACAATTTAGAATGTATTTAAAAGATGACATTTTCTTTCCAGAGTGATAAATTTATTTGTCTAGATTCCTTGGTGAATGGGATCCACAAAGGAAGGTGCTTGTGGTGGGCAATAAGGAACAACTTCCTAACAGAACATAGTTGTGTGTTGTGTAGATGAGGGGCTCACAAAGATGCATGGTGAGTAGGTCAGACCATCTGTGGGTTTCAGTGGATCCTTGTCTTTGTAAGAAGCATCTTGATGAGCTTGTTAAATACATAGGGTCTGCTTCACTGGAAGAGACAGTTGACTGATTTGGTTGGATTAATCCTATCAGTAGAAGTGGAAAGCAAATCCTGGAGCGTCTAGACTGGTGAAGAAGATCAGAAATAGAGTCAGATGAGCAAAACCTGAGGCGAGAATTAGAAAACCAGAATTCAAGTATAAAATTGGGTGTGTTGATCACTGATATGGATGCTATAGGTAAGGTCAAGTAGAAACAGAAGAAAATGTGTAGATTGAAGGTTGGCATTAGAGTTCAAACCCAATGTACTAGTGCGGAGTTGAAATTAAAAGGGAAAAGTACGCATCTATTCTTTTAATAAATTAGTATCTTTTATCATTGCCAGATATATCCTGTTCTACAACAGGAAGTAGCACTGCACTGTAACACTGTCCTCCCGTTGTTCATCTATTTGCTTGAGTGGGCACCAGTAACATCTCACAACAAATTGTGAGACTTGTTACTATTTTTGGCACATCGAATACGTCACGGGTAGCTTGCCAGGCTTTGCCGTGTGGGCGAGATACTCTCGATAGCTTGCCAGACTCTCCGAGAGGGGCGGAGGAGTTGAACCCGGGTCAGCCGTGTGCAAGGGCAAATGCCCTACCTGCTGTGGTATCACTCCAGCCCACGCACAGGAAGTAGAACTTGAAATAGGTGCCCACGAAACTTGCTTGTTAGTGAGGACAGACATGCTAAGCCGTTTAATTATACAGTGTTATAGGCAATAATGTTGAATTGCAAGCAACACTTCCATAGTTACTTTTCACAGATTTAGTGATTTTAAACCTATTATTTTATTTACATATTTATTTTTTAGTTTTTGGCTCACAACTCTAAGAGCGCTGCTTGGGGGACTGTATGGTGCTGGGGATCGTACCAAGTGCCTTAACCCTATATCTCTGATCCAGAGACGTAATATTTTACAACAGTCCTGTGAGATAGGGAAATAGCACTTTTCCCATGTTACTGATGAGGGCTGGAGAAAAACAGCTTCACGGATAGAATGAGTGCATGCTTTGCATATGGGAGGCCCAAGACTGATCTCTGGTACTTCATGGTCCATGAGCCCCACTGGGTATAGTACCAAATCCCAAAACCATTTTACTGCTGCTAAGGAAATAAGGTACTCTACAGAGAAGCTAAGCGATATTCTTAGGACTACGTAGCTTATTGTGATAAATTGAGATTTTTAAATTCAGAAAGATTGATCCCAGCTAAATACTGGAGAAAAATAATCAGGAAATAGGAGTAGGAAGTGCTAAAAGTGCACATTCAGTTTTAAGTAGTATATCCAGGAAAGTGTCCCTGAGTAACAACTTCCATGAGAGGAATAGAGAAGTGATATTGGAGAAAGAAGATTCTAGGCAGTAAGATGGGTAAGAGCAGAAGGTCCTGGGGCAGGGTTAAGCCCGGATCAGAGTAAGTGGAGGAGAGGAGATGAAATTGGAAGTTACCAGGGAGTCTTGATGGTGTAGGTCCTTATAAGCCAAAGATTTTGCTTTTCCCCAAGTGAAAAGCAATTGGGAACTTCTGAGAAGTGTGAGGTGACACTTGGATTTAGAAGATCCACTCTGGTTTCCAGGTTTCCATTGACCCTGGTAGAGGAGGTGTGAGGGAGGATGAAGGCAAAGGGAAGTAGGAGTGTTGAATTAATTTGAGTGTTGCTGGTGTGTACCCTGGATACTAGGAGCAGAGAAGACGTGAGAGGTGACTTATCTTGTTTTGATTTTTTTTTTTTTTTGGTGTATGGTGGTAGAAGGTAGCTTGGTGGTTTGCCCTAAACAATGGAATTGGCATCTCTAAGATGGGGTTGGTTGCAGGATGCCAGGTTTATGAGACTTGATCTGGAATTCTGTGTGGGTACCTTAGCTTTTTGATGTCTGTACCTGTCCAGATACAAATCTTGTCATTTTTGCTTTGTTGCTTTTGTGCCACACCCAGTGATGTTCAGGGCTTACTCCTGAATCTCTGCTCAGGGATCATTTCTCTTGGTGCTCTGGGGGCCATATGGGATGAACCCTGGTTGGCTGCGTGCAAGGCTAGCACCCTGTTTGCTGCATTCTCACTCTGGCCCAAATACAAATTGGATTGTTGGGTTTGTTGTTGTTGTTTTGGGTTTTTTGGTTTTGACCCATCCCTGGCGGTCTGGGAGTGCAAATTTGGGAATTAATAGGTGTAAAAATCAAAGGAAGTGAAAAAGATCTAGAGGGCTAGATACAGAAGCAATGGTGTCTCAAATAACCCATAGGCAGTTTCAGTGTGAGAGATGAGGCAGAGTTAGCTAGAGAGAATGAGAAAGAGGCAGGGAAGTAGGAACCAAGCATAGAAAATGTTTCAAGTCGAAGATGAGGCTCAGAGATGTGTCTTGTGCTGCTGGTAATGAAGAGAGCTGGCCACAGTCTTGCACAAAGGCTAGGTCATTGTTGATCTTGGCACAAGTGGTTTTATTGGAATGGTGGGAATGAAATGCTTATTTGGAGTAATTTCATCTGTGAATTTAATTGTTTTGAAAGAGGAATCAGACTGAAAGTGCTTGGGGTTTTTCTATAAAGGTTAGCAGGGAAATGGGGCAGCAGCTAGACACAGGTGACTGACGTTCAAGAGAGATTTTGTTGATGCTAATCACAATGAATCAGGAAGAAGCGACGATGGGGGATTGAAGGACTGCTGGTGTGTGCTGTATTTCTGGTGGTGGGATCCCTTTCCCTCGAATGAGATCGGGGATTGGAGGAGAGGCATTGCTCTAGACTAGCGCATAGGAGAGATAGGAGAGATGCTCATTGTCCAGAAGTGCTGAGTAGGGAGAGGACACACGGCTTTTGCATGGATGGGTTGAGATGGGTGTGGAATGTTAAGAAGTTGTTTTTCTAATTGTTTACATTTTCTTGGTTCATGAGCTGAAAGTGAGTTTGGAGAAGGAATAGCTCCTTCACGCAGCAGAGTTAAGAATGATTCTTGAGCCTGTTCTTAAACTTTTTTTTTTCTTTTTCAAGAGGGATGAGGTAATTTGCCTCAGAGCCAAACACATTTTCCTCAGTTTGCAGTCCTGTCACCCATTGGCCAGAGAAAAGATTAGGTGCAGTGATTGTCAATCTGGCTGTCTGGAGGAGTTATTCTGGAAATTTATAAAATGTTCAGATGCCATTTGGGTTGTTTAAAAACACAGTCAGATGCTTTAGTGGTTCAGAATAAATTGGTCCTGAAGAATCAGGGTTTTGTAGGTTTTTTTTTTTTTCCAGTCAGGTGATCTTATGAAACTCCAGGGTAGAATCATCATCTGGAACCTTTTCATTATCCTAATAACTGAAACTAGTTTTATTTTGTTTTGTAATTTCTTTTCTTCTTCTTTTTTTTCTTTTGTGTTACACCCAGCGGTGCTCAGGGGTTACTCCTGGCTCTGCACTCAGGAATTACTGCTGGCAGTGCTTGGGGGACCATATGGGATGCTGGGGAATTGAACTTGGGTTGGCTTCATGCAAGGCAAACACCCTACCCACTGTACTATTGCTCTGACCCTGTAATTTATTTTCTTATTTATTGAGTAATACCTAGGAATGTCTGGGATTAAACCAGCGTGCCACATGCTTTGCATGTGTTCCAGCCCTAAATAAGTAGTATTTTTTTTAAAAAAAGGATGGAATATGACACATTTTTAATAATTCTACTCTTAAGTTTGTTACCTTTTTTTTTTTTTTTTTGGACTTGCAAACAGTGTCAGGGAGCCTGGAGACTGTTCCTGGTGAATTGTCACCAGCTGGGACTGGCAGCTCAGTGTGACGGTCCAGAGTTGCTATGTAGCCTGGGCGGGACAGTGCTGAGGATTCCCTGGGCCTTACCTGGGGTACTTGAGTACCACATTGTGCAAAGGATTGAACTGGGATCGGCCACAGACAAAGCGTTTGCCCTCATTCTTGTACTGTCACTCAGGACCCCTCCTGAAATTTGTTTTATTTTGTTTTGTGGTCATATCTGTTGATGTCCAAGGCTTACTCCTGATTCTGTGCTCTGGAATTACTCCTGGCGGTGCTTGGGGAAGCGCATGGGATGCTGAGGATCCTTCCCAGGTCAATTCCGTCCAAGGCAGATGCCCTGCCCACTGTTCTATTGATCCAGCTCCCTCTGAAAATTTTTATAGAGAGATATACTCAGACACTGCTTTGCTAGAGAAATAAATATATGTATGACGATAATGCATTATAGTGGACTGGAGCCATAGCACAGTGGTAGGGCGTTTGCCTTGCATGCAGCCAACATGGCCAACCCGATTCCTCCGCCCCTCTCGGAGATCCCGGCAAGCTACAGAGAGTATCTCGCCCGCACGGTAGAGCCTGGCAAGCTACCCGTGATGTATTTGATATGCCAAACACAGCAACAATAAAAGTTTCCAATGGAGACGTTACTGGGCCCGCACGAGCAAATCGATGAACAACGGGAGGACAGTGATACAGTGACAGAATGCATTATAGTAGGTAAAACTTGAGGGTTTTGTCATTCTAGCAGCTTTAATGGGCCTAATGCTCTGTGTTTTCCACATTAATTTTAGTATGGTTTCAACATGGTCATGTCTCATCCACATGCTGTCAATGAGATTGCACTAAGCTTAAACAACAAGAATCCAAGGTAAGTGCATGTGGTAAGGCACAAGTAGAAAAATAAGTGGGGAAAGCAAGAAACTGGTAAACACCAAACTTTAGAGTTTGGAAGCTTTCTTTTTCTCTCTTTTTTTTTCCCCTTTCTTCTTTTGCGGGGAGGGGCATTGTTGTGCCACTGTGTTTGGGGTTTGTTCATGGCATTACTCTGGGAAAACCATGCAATGCCAGACTGAAATGGGGTTGACCACATATGAAACCAGCACCTTGACCCTTAGAGTATGTCGAAATGGTCCAAGTTTGGAAGCTTCCAAGTACAACTCTCTGAAATAGGACTGCCATCAGAGTCATGGCAAGGTAGAGTTTACTTTTTTAGCAGTCAGTTTTCTTTCAGGTGGCAAAGTTGAGCAATTGGTGACAATTCCAGATCTTTTCTTTAATCATTTGCTCTTTTGGAGGAATGAAAACATCCTTGGTTCCCAGAATCCCTGCAAATTGAGCAAAAATTAGTGAGAAATATGAAGGCAGACTCCTTGCCAGGCTAGGACAAGGATGATTTGGATACAGACTTATAGACTTAGCTATACCAGTTATTGCTGGATGCTAAAAATCGTTGTACCTTGGGGTCAGAGTAAAGTGCAGTGGTAAAGTGCTTGTCTTATATGTGGCCGACCCAAGTTCAATTCCCAGCATGCTATATGGTTCCTTGAGCACCAGCAGGAGTGATCTCTTGAGCTCAGAGTCAGGAGTAAATCCTGAGCACAACCAGAAGTGGACCCCAAACCAAAAATAAATAAAAATTTCTATCCCATATCCACACTTTATTTACAGCATTTTCAGACTTAGCTTGTCAGACCAAACAAAGAAATGCAAACTAGCAAACATAACCATTCAGGTTTCTTTTAGTGCAAACACATATTTTACTTAGGTTATAATAAATAGTGAAAATGCATTTTTTAAACTGTTTTTGTATTTGTTTTTATTCACAGCATCGGTTATTCCTAGAAGCCTGTCTTCACAGGTTTCATTTTAGTTTTTAAAACATGTTTTATGTTCCAATAAAGTATTCTGCATTTTGAGCTCCTTTTCCCTTTCCTCAGTTTCTTTGGTTTTCATTTATCTGAAAAACTGTAAATTCAGTTTTCTCTCTCTCCCTATGTATATATGTGTGTGCACACACTAAAAAATCTGTGTCCCTTGGGGTCGACATATATACATAGAGAGAGAATTGAATATATATATACACACACACATATATATATGCACACATGCATATACACACATATACATGTTACATATTTTTTATTTGGAATGCAGTATAAACTATGAAATTCTGTTTTTAAATGCTGGTTATTATCATCATTTCATACTTGCCCTGATTAAAAATTTTTCAGATTTTTGATTGTTTTCTTAGTTCATTAGATTCTCCTTGCCTTGCCTCTGGGTGCCTGCCTGCCACATCAGGGAAGTCGTTTATTACTTTTCTCAAGACATGGTAGTTGATCAGAATGCTTCCTGTTTAAAGACAAGCAATAAAAGACCTCTTTAAAAAGAAATGATAGAAGCTTGCATCGTATTTGGTGATTTTTATGGAGCAGATTTGCCACTAAGGTTGTTAATTTTGGTTGCTTTTGAGCCTTTCAGCAAATACTGTATCTCTGATTATAAAACCGGAACAAATACTTAACCCGTGTTTGGTTTTCTTAAATATTTCCAAGTTTCCTGTTATCTGGCCCATGATTAAAAAATGTTCTGTTCATTTATATCACTTGCTAATAGAACTAAGCTACTGATGTTTCCTGGATTTTCTCTTTTGGAGAATAGGGAGGGGGAAGCTTGGACCATACCTGGCAGTGCTCAGGGGTTACTCCTGACTCTTTGCTCAGGATCATAGCATGCTCAGGGGACCATATGGGATGCTGGGGATTGAACCCAGTTCTGCTGAGTAGCAAATCAAGCACCCTACCCACTGTACTATCCCTCCTACCCATTCCCTAGATTTTCAAAGTAAGAATGAGTATTTTGTAATTTGGGGAGTAGTAGACATCCTTTCAAATTTGCTACCAAGATAAATCACATAAATATTTACTGAAAGCTTAAAAATGTGCGTTAGTATCTACTAAACCTTAGTAAATGTTTATAAAGCATAGAAAGACAAATACCCGTCTTGCGAGGAATAGTTGATTCTTTTCGTCACTTTTACTGACGTGTATTTTGCTTTTTCCTTCTTGTTTTGATAGAACAAAAGCTCTTGTCCTAGAACTGCTGGCTGCCGTATGTCTTGTGAGAGGCGGGCATGAGATCATTCTATCAGCATTTGATAACTTCAAGGAGGTAGGATATGCACAGTTCTAAAAGAATGCTTGTGAAAGTTTCTTTTATTTGGACAGGATGATTTACTTCACTATTTATTCCAAGTCCCAAAAGGTATACTAGTTAATTTTTTAAGACATCACTGCAGGATAAGCAATGAGTTTGGTCTAAATATCTTTAAATGACTGAACTAAGCTTTCCTTGGTGTTTCATTTCCAAGAAAAGTTAGAAAGCATTTGCCATCTTTTTTTCCCCACTTTGGACACGAAGCAACACATAGGAAAACAGATTTTGTTAAATATGTGTGGTTTTCATTATGGTTGAGCATCTGCAGTGTAAATATTGTGAACGTTCATCATAGTTTCTTCCCTCAATATATTACTCTTGTTAAATATGTTACTTTTCTGGATGTCATGAAATCAATATAGACAACTGATTTTAATAGTTTATCATCTTTCCCAGGTGATCCCATCAAAGACAAAGGGGAGGGGCTAGAGAGATAGGACACATGCCTTGCATGCAGCCGACCTGGGTTAGATCTTCAACATCCCATATAGTCCCCGAGCACTGGCAGGAGTAATTCCTGAGCACAGAGCCAGGAGCAACCCCTAAGCATTGCTGGGTAGCCCCCAAGCAATAAACAAACAAAAAAGTCAAACAATGGGGGCTGGAGTTATAGTACAGCAGGGTCTTGGCCTTGCACACTGCTGACCCGGGTTCAATTCCCAGCATCACATATGGTCCCCCAACCACCGCCAGGCATAATTCCTGAGTGCAAAGCCAGGAGTAACCCTTGTGCCTCGACTTAAAAAGCAAGAAAAAAAGACAATGGACATGGGTGGTTGGAAATACAGATAATGTACACCCAGAATCCTGGCCTGAAATATAATTCTCAGTGTGCAATGTTTCATGGCCATGAAGCAAGCCTGTGTGTGCCTCTGTCTGTACCCAGCATTTTGGGTTGCTCCGGGTGGGACAGGACACACACAGTGGAAGGGACTTGGAGCCCCAGGTTGTTGTAGGATCTGCAGCCTTGTCCTTATGACAGCACCTTATCCTGTAATCCCATTGAATTTCACATACTTCTAGATGGATATCCAGTCTGGATTCAAACCCACATTCAAGTGGCTTTCTCCCGATTTCCTCTTAGCTGTCCTGGAGTCTCTGGCATACCAGCTAGCTGGTACTTACGGCTGCATGTGCCTTGTGAGTCTGTATCAGCACCAATGAGACAAGTATTCCAATTGCCCTATTGCTCCTGGCCAGAGAGTTTGATACGTGACTGACTCTGGATCAGGATTTTGGTGCATTGGATCCTGATCTGCCACTCTGGGTGATAGGGGGCTGGATTGGTGAGATTCTACTGAGGGAAAGACTGGATCAAAGACCCTCAGAGCCATTACCCTCACAGTCACTGGAGATATCCCACTAGCTGGGCTGACATGTGGGCTAGAGAGTGACCCGCAGTCCTGTACCTCGGCTTGTTTGCTGCAGAGATCTGATGAGGAAAAGTCCTCTGCCTGTTCATGCACATGACTTCTCCCTGCTGCTTGAAGATTTTGATTTTATTAGTGCTCCATGGACAAAACCAAATGTCATTTTTATCTATTTAGCCTCAGGGATCGGGAAACATACCCAAGTTCAAGAAAATGATAAAAGAATAACAGTGAACCTTTAAATTTTGACTTCTGCTTTTGGTTTGTTTCCTTTTTTCTTTTTCTTTGGTCACACCTGGAGGTGCTTTGGGTTTATTCCTGGCTGTGTGCTTAGAAATCACTTCTGGCAGGCCTCGGAGAACATTATGTGGTGCCAGAGATTGAACTTGGGTTTTTTTGTTTTGTTTTGGCACCATACCTGGAATGCTCAAAGTTTAGTTCTGGCTCTGCACATAGGGATCACTCCTGGTTGGCTTGGGGGACAAGATGAAGTGCTGGGGATCAAACCCAAGTCAGCCATGTGCAAGTCAAATGCCCCATCAGTCAGTACTGTCACTCTGACTCCTGAACATGACGTGGCTGTGTGCAAGGCAAGCACCTTACCCACTGTACGATCTCTCCATATTTTGAGTTCTAAACAAAGACTTTGAGATAAGAATATGTGAAGGCTTTCCTGTGAATAAGATAGAGATGGTTTTTGGTATGACTTATAGAGATCATATTTAGTGCTTTTTTACATTTAAGAATAGGGAGATACATGTGTGGATAAACAGGATTAATATGGAAGTGAAACAGCATGTATAGCTATTGTAATTTCAGATCTTTATTATTATGCCATATTTGAAAATATCACATGTCCAATTCTTTCCACACTGGATATGCTTATTGTACAATAATCCGTGAATCATGTTATGAGTTAAATGGTAATAAGCACCTGATTATGCTGCAGATCTGATTATGTCCTAAGATGATAATTATATACAATCAGTGTTAATTAAAGTCATGAGCTGTGTAACATTTATTTTATTTATTTATTTATTTATTTTGGTTTTTGGGCTACACCAGGTGGTGCTCAGGGAATATTCCTGGCTCTGTGCTCAAGGAGACTCTAGTGGACTTGGGGGATCATATGTGGTACCAGGGATCAAATCCAAGTTGCCTGTGTGCAATCAAATCCAATTTGCCCACTGTACTATTGCTCTAGCCTCCACAATGTTATTTTTCCTTTCAGATAACATAGAATGCCTATACAGAGTAGGCACAAAAATGCCTACAGAATTCTGCCATGATTTGAAAAAATAATTTGGCATGAGAATTGTATGTGGTTTATCTATATTAAAGATTAATGGTGCTTTAAAGACTTAATTTCAAAGGTAGTTTTGCCCAGTCAAATAGATGACTTTGAGTAGTGAGAACTGAATGAGCTTTGACTTTTTAAAGTGCTTTAACCAAAATTGGCCTCATTTCATAATTACAAATGAGTCATGGTAGGTCTTTAAGTTCTGATTCTCTTTGGACAGACATTAGCATGTGTGAGAACCTTGCCTCCTGAGAACGGGACAAGGAAAGAGCTGGTTCCATGTTGCCTTGATCTGCCTTGACCCCCTGTGTGCTGTCTGTGAAGTGTGACCTCTTGTGTGCTGTCAGGCAGAGAGATTATCCTAATAGCTCTGTGGACAAGGCAAAGGCAATGCGTTCCGAGGGAGACCTAATTCTTAGGAAAAAAGCATCAGCCTATTTATTAATTCAGCCTTTGATCAAAAAATACTGCTACTTTGTCTTGATCTTAGACTTCATTTTTCTTTCTTTTTAATTATTTTCTTTTCCCTTTTTGGCCCACCCCTGGTGATGTGGTGCTGGGGGTGGACCCCCCGGATCTCTGCATGCACAGTGTGTCCCTCGGCCCTTGGAACAATCTGTCTGTTCATGCTTTTTCAATATATAGTGTGGTCTGTTTGGTGTTATTTAGGTCTTTTTCAGTCTTTTTGGTTTTTGGTTTTTGGGTGACACTCGAAGGTACTCTGGACTTATTCTTGGCTGTCTGCTCAGGGATCACTCCCCGTGGGACTGAGTTGACCATATGGGATGCTGGGGATTGAACCCAGTATCCTTTTGATACTTTTATAGTTACCTTGACAGTACGTTGTTTGCACATTTGGCCCACTGGACCAAACATGCATACAGCATATGGATGTTAAAGTCTCTCCAAGTATTTTCATTCATTCAGGATTTTGCCTGCAAGAAGCAGAAACTGACTAACAGAGAGGAAAGGATTGTTCAGAGGGATGTTGATAAATGGAGAGGATTTGACTCTCAGGCTGCACCTGCAAAGTCCCACATCCAACCTCTGTCTGGGATTATGATATTCCCTCCACTTCAGAGTTCTTCAGATTGGGGCGTGGGGTGGGGCTCACCCAGCATTGCATAGGGGCTGCCATGCTTGGTGGTGTTTGGGGACCATATGTATTGTGGACCTCAAACCGGATCTTAGCCAAAGCCATATGCAAAGCAAGCCCTTGAACCTCTGCACTTCTCACCACCCCTTCTTTAGAATTCTGAAATTGTATGGAGTTCAGTTTCTTTACTTTTTGTTTGTTTGGGGACCACATCTGGCAGTGTTAGGGCTTACTCCCAGCGCTGGGCTCAGGGATCATTCCTGGCCGTCCTCAGAGGAACTTATATCATCCTGGAGATAGAATGTGGGTTGGGCATGTGCAAGGCAAGAGCCTTACCAACAATCTTACCCACTATACTTTCTCACTGGCCCTCGAGTTTCTCTTAGGAATCTTGGAGTCCTCTATCTAGGCCTTTTCCTTTCAATTATTCTTAGTCTTACCACTTTCTCCCATTGTTTCCTTTGACACATTTGAGACTTTGCCTTTTTTTTTTTTTTGGCTTTTTGGGTTACACCCAGCATACACTGAGATTATTCCTGGCTCTGCACTCAGGGATTACTCCTGGTGGTGCTCAGGGGACCATATGGGATGCTGGGAATTGAACCTGGGTCAGCTTGGTGCAAGGCAAACACTTTACCCACTGTGCTATTGCTCCAACCCCGAGATATTGCCTTTAGATGGACATGGAGAGTATCATGGTATGAAGTGACTCATGAATGAAGTGAGTTAGAAGGAGAGGGACAGACATATAATGGTTACACTCATTTGTGAGATATAAAAAGCATAATATTAATATGAGACTAACACCCAAGGTGTTAAGTGTAATGCCCCAAAGGAGAGAGAGACAGAGACAGAGACAGAGAGAGACAGAGATTGAAACCGTAGAGGCAGACTGGGGTTGGGTAAGGTGGAAGGAGGAAAACTGGGGACATTCCTGGTAGGAAATGTACAATGGTGAAGGGATGGGTATTGGAACATTGTATGACCAAAACCCAATCATAAATAACTTTGTAACAGTGTATCTTATGGTGATCTAATTGAAAATAAAAAATTTTTTAAAAAAGTGTCTCTAGGGCTTGATAGGTAGTACTGTGAGTAAGGTGCTTGCCTTGCATGTGACCTACCTGGGTTCAATGTCTGGCATTCTGTGTGGTTCCTGAGCTTGCCAGCAGCGATCCCTGAGTACAGA